CCCCAAAACCCCAAAACCCCAAAACCCCAAAACCCCGTTTGGAATATACTAGCTTGAAAATATGAATGTTAAACTATGGTGCTGCCAAGCTCTCTACCACATACTAAAGATAATCTCTAATCAAAGAAAACAAAGCATTGGTCTCACACAAGTGCCTCATAGCGATGCTCAAAGAGACCATAGCAATAAGGAAATATTACTCACAAGTTTACATCTTCTGAATGTCTAACGAAATTCTCTACTAGCGAAATTAGCTTTTCAGTGGAATTTATCCACCTAAATATCAGAAGATCTATCGAATTTCTTTGATTCAAAATCGATAAATGGTTAATAAATCTTTCAATGAACAGAATGGAGAAGCTTATGATCAATATATTCTTAATTACAACACGATGAGCTGTCCTTGCTCTGGGGTTTAGAAGGATCTTGATACACAAGTCTCTTTTTCTTTTCGTTATACTTCTCATCGGTAAATTCACTTGACTTAACATCGTATACTTTTTGTAATAAATTTTCAAATATCAATTTTACATTGATGTCTTCAATAGCAGAACTTTCCTCAAAGAGAAGGTCATTCTTAGTAGCAAATTTTTGTGCTTCCTCCGTAGTCACCTGTCTTAGACTAGGATCATCTTTCACTAAATCAACTTTGTTTCCTACAAGTGTCACAACAATTCCGGGTTCTCCATGCTCTCTAAGCTCATCAAGCCATTTCTTTACATGCAAGAAAGTGTCTCTAACAGTGACATCATAGACAACAAGGGCACCTACTGACTTCCTATAGTGAGCACTAGTAATGGCTTTAAACCTCTCTGTGCCAGCAGTATCCCATATTTGTGCTTTGACAACACCTCCGTTTGCGAGACAAATTGATTTAGTGGCAAACTCCACTCCAATAGTCGGCCCCTTCTTCCTAGGAAGCTCTTCATTAATGTATCTGGATAAGAGGAAAGTCTTTCCAACACCAGCATCTCCAATGAGGATGATCTTCAACAGATAGTCGTATTCAGGGTCAGCCATTGTTATATAATAAATATTTCTTTATTCTTCAAAATACTAAATAGGTTATGGGGTTTTGGGGTTTTGGGGTTTTGGGGTTTTGGGG